AGAAGAATTGAGACATTTGAGTTATGGTGTTGGAGGAGAATATTGAAAGTGCCATGGGCTGTCAAAAGAACCAATAGATCCATTTTGGAAGAAGTGCAGTCAGAGTGCTCCTTGGAGGCCAAGGTGGCCAAACTTCGTCTCTCATACTTTGGACACATTGTCAGGAATGAGCAGTCGCTGGAGAAGGATATCATGTTTGGTAAGGTGGAAGGTCAGAGAGAAAGAGGAAGACCCCCAATGAGATGGATTGGCCAAGTGGCAGCATCGAGGGACTCAAGCGTGGCAACAGTAGTGATGTTGGCTTAGGATCGGGCAGTGTTTCATTCTGCTGTGCATAAGGTCGCTATGGGTCGGTACCAACTTGATGGCACCTAACAACAACAACAACAACAACAACACTCCTTAGAAGTGATGATATCAAGACTTTGGATATACTATCTGGATGGATCAGTCCTTGAAGAAGAACATCATGCTTGGAAATGTGGAGAGTTAGTGAAAAAGAGGAAGAATCCGAGGATATGAATTGACATGGTGGCAGCAGCAATGGCCTGCCTCAAAGGTAACAATTGTGAGGATGGTGCAGGACTGGGCAGTGCATAGGCTTGTTATGAGTCGGAGCCAACTATAAGGCATTTAACAACAACAACTTAGAGTACATGTTGGATTCATGTAGGGTAAACTTGAAAAAGAAAGGCTACAGTTGATGAGTTAATAAAATTCAGAAGCTCTCTAGATGAACTGTCCTTGGGATGTTGAGAGTATGAGATGGCATCAATGGCTCCATTGCCAAGTGGACTGACAGTTTTAGGAACGATAGTAGACTGTGAGAACATAGCATTAACGATAGTAGACTGTAAGAACATAGCATTTCATTGGCGTTCTGGTGAAGCAGTGAGCTCTGGTCCTGGTGGGTTTGTTATCAGGGATCCCTAGTAGAAGAGAGCACTGGAGAAGACCTAATTATCCATGCACAGCTATTAGAATAGGCTGGCCAGAGAACTATTTCACACTTCTGTGGTCTGG